TAATTTAGTTGCATTCTTTTAATTTAATCATAATAAACCCACCCTTTAGATATAATGTTTTACGAGTTAATAATCTAGCCAAAGAGCAAGGTCTTCTTTTAATTGACTTCTTAGTGATTTGCCTAATGAACCCTTATTAGCTCATTACTCATATCTCAGATGACTTTTATTCATGTTCATTTTTGTCCCTAATATTTTTCTGACATGTTAATGAACAAAACTAGTCTGTTAATACTAGTTCTTAAAAGGAATTGTGTGCCAGTGAAGTAGTATGTTGTACATACAAATAGTTCAATGTATGATAGTCAGAAATGTTTATATCAAACTTTATTAAATACGTAAGAATAGTTTGCCAGTGTAATTTTGGCAGTGAACAAACCGTGGTATAAAACTTTGGTGTACTGTAACTACATATTGATTATTAGGAGCACTCGCTAATAGGATCTTGAATATGTACATACAACGGACTGCTACGAACCACTAATAGAATAAGTAATATTAGAATTTTACGGGGTTATAGTTGCATAAACATTGCAGTTCTAATTAAAATATAAATGTTAACAAGAAAATCTGATGGACTCTAAAAAAATTATATTTGTTCGCTTATTCATTCATGTTATTTAGATAACCAAGTATGGAATCATTACTAATCTAACCTTACAAAGCTGTTTGCAAGAGCATCCACTTAAACGGCTAAGGTTATCCGCAGTTTCACTAACTTTGTCGTGTTCAGGATTTTCTATCATTTCTTCGTCCACTCAATAGGCAGCTGCCACATATGTAAGGGTGAATTTGATTAGAAATATTATTTAGGAGCATAAAGTTTACCACATGTGTGCTCCTATCCGCTGCGACAGAGAAAGCTACATCTAAAATATTCGTAGCTGGAAGGTGCAAATAGTTCTACCAATCACAATGAATTATTTGATGAAAATTAGACCACATTTTTCAGCTATTAACCACCGACTGGATAAAAAATGGCATGAGTTGCTACATACATAAAAAATATTGTGGACACTCTCAGATGATATCGCGCCATGAATGTTTAAAAAGGGCTTAAATAACACTCGCGCATTTGAAAAACTCCTGAAAAGTAATTCGAAATTAAGGTCTAAAACACAAGGTCCGAAGTGTTAAGACCATAGAAGTTGATTTTTGACTACTTACAACAGTAATTATAGTTAACCCTAATGAAAATATTCCTGGATATTTTGGATTATATTTCTTAGTGTGTGAGTACGACTCTGTTGGCTTTTTATGGTGTAAAAACGTTTGCAAGTACGCAATTGATTAGCCGACCAAGATATAACATTTCTGTCTTCAAAAGTGTTATTCGCTATTTTTTTAGACAAAGCCAAAATTGTTAAATTAAATTGCATAATTAATTATAACTGAACAAAATAAATATAACAATATTTCTTTTTGGAATACAATAAATTGATCATACTACGTGAAGATTTGTTATCAACTACAAATAGCCTAAAGTTATAAAGGATAATATAATCATAAACAAAGTTTTGATACATCGTCACTAGTGTGGGTTCGAGCTATACCATTGTTGGTATCCACTATTAAACTTGATAGGTCTTTAGTGGGACGTATCCCGTTCAGATTGCATCAATGTGATAGTTTTATCACAATATATTTAGAACAGACCGATTGTAGCTAGCACTGGAATCCAGAAAGAGCAGTTCATCCCACATAGGACTCTATAGCTAGATATATTTACATTTCGGTCTTTGATATGAACAAAAAGATGACTGGAACGCTTATCGATAATGTGCTAATCATCATAGCTCATAGAACAAATTGCTAGCATTCTGAATTCAGCCAGTAGCTTGGTGGATAATGCGTTAAACTTAAATTTATCAAGTAGTCTAGTTGTGAGTAATATATTAGCATTTGGAGTGAAATGTGCTGAATTTGAGTGGTAGCGTGAAAATAAACGCTAGAATGCAGCTACATGCAGCAAACGAGTCTCAAATAGGACAAGAACCACTTACTTAAATTCCAAGGCTAGTTGTATTTTTCTGTTCTAAACATTTCATTTATCTTAATGAGGCTGAGATTATTGTTGCAAAACAAGACAGAAAATCATAATAATGAGAAAATCCCATAACAAATGCTATTCAATACAGTAGTTAATGTTGATCACTATTTAGTTTATGTTGAAAATGAAGTCATATAAACTGGAGAATGAAGTCATCAATGCTGGGTGATAGTCAAAATAAAGAAAACAAATAAGTAATGATACCTTATGGGATAAGAAATGAAATGAAAATAATGTAATGAATGAGTATCAGTGGATAGGTAACAAGAGATTTAAAGTAGGAAAATGTATACATTTTATTCTGTAAGTTTTATTGTTTATGTTTTCTCCGAATATGTCAAAAGGCTGAGTTATGTGAAACTAGTTGATGAGAATACGTATCAACATTATATTACTGAATTGTTTTCAGTAAACAAACAGCTGTTATTTTTTTTATAAGAACACAAAATAATATATTAGATTCTTCCATGCAAAATCTGCTGACGTCAAAACAATTAGGGTTCATGAAGATTATACGTTTGTACATCACTTTTGATGATCTGGCCGTAAGCATTGTGTAAGATAGACTACATTAGTGAAAATGCACCTATTTGTTACCATACTCCAGATTTTCAAAAACCGAATTCCTTCGCAAAAAACCCTTCTTTCTGTTTTTTTAATAATACTGACAATGCTTAGTATCTCTCGATATTACAGTTACCAAATTGTATTATACAAAAGTCAGGTCTAGTATTTTATTAAGAATTCCTAATGAGCTAAACATGAATTTAAGCTCTCAGTCGAATTCATATAGCTTCACTATCTAAAACGTTGACATGCAGCTTTCTAAGGATCAATAGTACGAATAAGTAAGTCAAGGTTGATAACAAATAATGGTATACTATACTTCTCTTTTGGCAAAAATGCCAACATATTCTAGGGAGTCTTTTTGTTTAATAAAACCATTTGTAAAAGCCAAGTGACCAAATAATATTGGGTTTAAACCTGTTGAGATAACTGTTTTGTAGATCTTTATTTCCTCTGTTATACATGAAACTACTTTCTGTATAGCACACTACACAGACAAAGAAAGGTAAATGCAACATTTGCCAGTATATTTCAGTTTATTGGGTATAATAAATTGTTTTAAAGCTTGCGCCGATATACTATTCTCATTTGTCACCTTTTCACTTCTAAGCATAAATATTTTTAAATTTCGCCTTACGAAGAGATCATTTAACATTTTCGATCATTGATATGAAAGATATTTGATAAAATGCAATTTTCGAAACTAGTATTTGAACTTTAGAAAGTATAGGTGAACGACACTACCACAACATTGTTCTCCGTATTTTTTACCACATTTTCTAAAATGCAAGGATATTTCGGTTCTTTTATTCCCATATTAGTAATTAGGTAACAAAACAGTTATATATATATATATATATATATATATAGAGAGAGAGAGAGAGAGAGAGAGAGAGAATCCACAGAATTTTCTACCAACCCGGCTAATGGAATTAGCAAACAATGTGTCTGCCATACCAATAATACGGAGTTATTTTCCTTATCATCTAAGTTTTTTCGACGACATATGTAATCAGAATAAACATAACTTTTAAAAATACAGCTAATTAGACATCAGATACTGTTAACATAAACCACTTAATTTCAGTGCAGTTAAAGCAAAAAATAGTGTTTGGATAGTTTTCTAGACGTGATTAAAAATTGCTGATGTGTGGAAGGGTGTTTTTATAACTGAACTTATTATTGGGAGTGGCAGTTCAAAAAAAGGTAACGAGGAAAAATTATGAATAGGTTTGGGTTTGATCATACAAAATTTTGGATTCTCGATTAAACAACTGGTTTGACATGTTTAAAAACCACGAACTTATGAAGTTGCTAGAAATTACACGATATTTTTGTAAATGATTTGTTACCTATTTACTCTTTTGCATATCTGTTCCTGACTCGGACTCTACGTGACTGAGAATGAACTATCGTTGTGTCTATTTTTAACAGTAAAATATTCCCACTATACATTCGCTAAGCTTATGATTCGACTGATATTTTTGACCGGAACTTGAGAAACTGAAAAGAAGCGATTGATAACATTGAATTGAAGTAGAAAATTCTAACAGATCAGGGAAAGAATTCGGTAAATGTTTTTGTTTGGATAACCTCACCAAAACAACAATACTGCATGAAACTGCATGATTATAATACAACTACAAATAGTCGAAGAAGCGATTTAAAGTCATTTCTAGTAGTCAACACTGATTGTCGAAATAATATTTTAGTAACAATACGCTAGTGGTTCAAATTTCTTTTATGAGCTAGCAAATGTTGGACAGAATCCAAAACCGAGGGGTGAAATGAAGAAGGATAACTGAATACGGTTTCATCTGGCTGTCTTTTTTTGAAGACGCTCTTTTTTAAATGATTTTGATGATATATTTAAATTAAACAAATACGAAGGATGACTGGATAAAAATAATTTAAAAACTTTACCGATAAATCAAAGATATCTGCATAGAAAGAAAGACATTAAGACACTCGGGTTGTAGTTGAAGGTGACATAACAAAATATTGAGGATTTTTGCTAAAATTAACCAATCTCAGAAAACTTTTACACAATAGACATGTAGTAACACCGTTCAAACAAACCACCTTGGTTTTCTGTCAGACTTTTCTAAAACTGTGCAATCTATTGCGCTTCTTCCTTTTGCAAGATATATGGCAAAATAAACATATATTTAGATTTAATGGTTCTTGAACCTCTTTTAAATTAAGTGGACAAAATGAAATATTCGAAATATAAATTGTTATCTAAACGGCTTTACTCATTATTTAAAAAACTGAATTTATTCAAGACAAAAAACGAAAGACACAAAACTAAACTTATCCAGGTAATAATAAAGGAGACAGTTTTTACCCAAACAGAAATATTATTTTGTAGTGTTTTACATACATTATCACAGCGATATTCTCCCGACTACACCTGGATTCGTGAATGAACTTCGCACCAGCCTTGAGGTTGCTTATGCGTAACTCTTCACCTGGTTTCTGAAGCTCAAGGTGTTTCCAATGAGGGTTCTTTACAAAAGTTATAAATTAGAGAAAAATTAACATACAGGTTTTGCAGGCTTTTGAGTTGACGATAACATGCACGTTATCTTAGCTTTCTTTAAATTAGAATCAGTTGTTGCTTCACCATGGTCAACTATGTATAAGTAATTTAAAACTTTTCCAAAAGCTGCCCCCATGATCAAAACGCTTATTTGAAAACGTTCTGAAACACCTTGATCAACAAAGTACTCTTTACTTATTTAAAACAATGATTTACATTGAAAGTCGTCTAAATACTATTTTTTGCTAAATGATGGTTTCTAACTTAGCACGAAACAAGTAATTTATTCAGGGGTCTGTTATTAATTTATGCCTTTATCACAGTATATCACGAGTTATTATATTTATGACGTATCGTTTTTAATGTGTAGGTAAGATATGGTAACAGTTTTGGTGACTGAATGTAAGTTGAAAGTCGGTAAAGAACAGGGAACATGAACTGTAGATAAGTACAACAATGATTTGTATCATTTGCTTATTCAATTTCATCGATGGGAGATTTTATGTAGGTATACATGAAACTGTGTGTTGCTCTTTAGCTTACCTACTAGCTGAGATGTAGATACGTGGGATTTGTGGTCCGGGTTTGTACTTATTCATTTATTTACGCTACAAGAATATTGGACTTCATCTAATGTTGTAAACTTGGTACGATATGAGTGCCAAACACTGATGATCTTACATCAATAATATCCTTAGTTATACTGACCCACGCTTTCGTAACAGTCGGTAGCACTACATGTGAAAACCTTTGGAGAGCACATTCAAGCTAATAAGAGAGTGATATACTTGACGCAATCGGGTCAGATTTGCTTTAGCCACGATTGATTCAGAAAGTTCGAAAGTTCCATAGTCAACAGGGTAGAGACTACATCTCAAACGTAGCCGCCATAAGAATAAGAAATCGAAAGTATAGGAAAAAAAGATAATAACCTCGAAATGCAATGAATACATGCTACGAACTCAAACAGTGAACCCACGCAATAATGACGAACTTCATAATTAATCCAGATTAGCAATACGTTCTGTGAAATCAGAGGTTCATATGGAACCAAACATTTATCACATATAGTTTTCATTCCCCTTCTTTTACTTGATAACGTTGTATGAATTGCAGGTTAATTCTTCAGATTTGACTGCCTTTCTTGGAATAGATTATTCAGTAGTTTTGACATTACGATGACTCATGAGGCAAGTGAGTAAATGCATGATAACGGACATAGAGTGAGAAAATCGTACTGCACACACACGTGGAGTTGGGTAGCCCAATCGTGGCAGTTCTTCGAATATTCTTATTTCATTCTCTTATCTTCCATTCTCTTACAAGCTCTTGTCCTCACACAAAGGACACGTCCAACATTTTAGCTGCAATAATTTGTGGAAAGTAGGTAAATGATGCGAATCGAAATAAAAGTTACAGTATATAACATTTTTGGAGCATCTTTGTGGTTTTCATTGATTTCACCGGTATAACGTCCAGATAGTGAACGATTTAGCAGTTCTACACTAGGTTGTGCTAAACGAACTGGCATGTTCTAGTGTAATACATTGATCGAAACTACATTTCCATGGAAGCAAGCTAGTGCAACAACTTAGGTTGATTAGTTATGAGTCGACCGAAAACATTGTAGCTTGGCGTCGAGTTGAGGTTAACTATGAACACCGCTACAAAGAAACACGTGCCAAGTAGATCAGAAGGTGTAGGTTGAACGTAACCAAAGAAACCCATAAAATCTCCGAGAAGCCAAATATCAGAAGGCAGTTAATGGACCAAGTCGATATTTATTTGCTGGCGATCTCGTGGAATCGAAAGGATACCGAGATCGTGCCAGGATATAACCTTGGTTACAGAACGTAACCGAATTCGCGCGAAGTTACAATCAAAGTGTAAGTAAAAGAATGGAAGCACAAAATAGCTGTCATTAGCACAGTCAAACAAAAGCACATTAAAACAGTCACTGGTACACTTGGTTATAATAATAAGCGTTTTTATTAAACCAGTCGTGTTCTCGTGATAAATGTGAGTCACTACAGGAGCCCCCCGCTAGAAAGGGTTTACACTTTTGTGCAGGCATTATATTTCCTATTATTTCACATTGAATGTCAAAACTGTGTCTGGAAAAGCAAACCTCACTTCCCAACTTAATCGACGCCTAGTCTGGCTTCTGTGGTTACACGAAAGGCATCTGCCGACACGAAAAGTTATCTGAAAGCGTATATCAATATACACAAATGAATGTTATAGATGTGATTAATGCACTATCATGAAAGAACGTATTTTGCCCTCATGATTGCTTAAAGCAACTCTGAGCATCGACTCACAACTGAGGTACTTCGATCTAAATTGCCACAACATGCTTACATATTCTCGGGATTTTTCAGTAAGTTTGAGAGTTTCTGATGGTCCCTTAACTCTGGACGTGTAATTAAAAATGAGATTTGTGATACACGTACTATTTAAAAATCGTTAAGGCCACTATAGTGTCTAACACTATTGTCAAGCCCACAGGGGTTATCCTAACTTCCAGATAGACCAATTTATTTATTCTTCTTGAGTCGCAATTTAACCATGTCGTTTTTTGGCTTACTAAACTTGACTGTTGTAATGTGAGCGTGTTTGTATGTGATGCTTACCCTACTATTCACATGTCTGTACCATATTTTTTGTCTGGCTACAAATACTGAGTCACGCTTGATTAAAACGGGTTGGCTCACTCGATTTCTACATTTCACTTCGTTGCTTTTCATTTTGAATGTCTGTCCTGAACAAGGACTTTGAGAAATATACGTCTTCAACATTTATTCTTGCATTTGATTTATTTTATCTGTTATACTCTAACGCCGACTTGACAATTATGTGCGAAGGTAGCTAGGATGTATATTTTGAAGACATCATCATACGTTCACATTTTAATCAGAATGAAAGGCAATAAAACCATGTTAAAATCCTCTCAAGCTGAGGAATGTTTGATCGATCACTCTCTGTCCAAAAATGACGTTTAAGTCTACAGAAATCATATTAGATCTATGTGCTGTGATAATATTACTGGAAAGTAATAAATAACGTGGAGGTTTTACCTAGCTATAACGGAACTGGTCCAGCAAAAAGAAAATCTCAAAAGTTATCCATCCGTTACAAATGCATAAATGCTAGAAAGTCAAGGCACGATACAGTCTAGTAAACTACTTCGTTCTGTTCAACTGCAGAATGTTCAGTTGAATCCTTCAAACTAAAGGCAATTTCAAACAGGGTTGACTCGTGCTTTCAGAAGGCTAATTGCTGGACGTTGAATGACTAACGCATGTTTATCAGTCAATGATGAGGATAAATACACGCGGTAGTTTTTTCACAAATCTATAATCCGTTTTACCAAATCTACAATATTATTCTGGTAGGCTCTCATCTCTTCTCCAGATATATCATGAAAATAGAAAAACCTGGCCACAGGTTATGGTGGATCGGGATAAGGTGGTGTAATTTTGACACAAGATTATCTATGTCAAGCGGTTACATCATTACTTGTAAACCTTAATAGGGTATTGCCAAAACAGACCATTTGGATCCCAGGACTTTGCGTCGGATCATCAGCACACCTCACATTTGTGAACGTCGGAGGGATTATACGATAGCTTATGTAGTAGCACAGATCTGATGGTTAGAAGCCAAATTTAATTGTCAAAATGAAGGCACATTTTCATTAAGCGACCAAATCTATGCCAACTTTCAGTCAATCTATACAAAATCTACGAAACTGAAATATACCACAGACCCACGTTAACAGGACTGAAATGTTCTAATTTTTGAAAGTTGGTAAGTGACTGAGCATCGTTCGGCTACAGCTGCCAGCCAAAGGTTCTTTCGCCCGAGATCTTTTTCAACTATAACCCATCTGGAAAGGAAACACCTCAGTGACTTGACACACTACACCGAATCTTCGACCACGTGCTAGCAACGCATAATTGGAATGAAAGGCAGCTGGCTAAAGCTTGCATTGCCAGGATAACGGACACAGCTACACCGAGGAAGCCTTTGAGAAACCTCTGGGAGGCATTCCGACACATTAGGTTCGCCATTTATGTTTATCTTCATAATTTCGACACTGCCAAGCCATTTATTAAGCATTGATTAAAATTAATTGGCCAACACACATTTTAATTGGCAGCAGCTACTGTTATACACGCCTACATAATATATTTCGAATACCTGAATACAGCGCTACCGTAGATACTGGCCGCATAAATCGTGAGAACGAAATTACAAGAATGACCGGCCATTCCGGCACCATTTCATAACGCGACAAAATTTTGCACCTTCTAAAACAATACATTCATTCCTGTATGTCATAACCGTATTCATATTCCCCAACCATGTTACAGCTTTAAAATATTAAGACGGAACTCTCTAACTGACCAACAGATTTATTACTTTGAAAAGATCACGACTAAAAGAAAATGAACATTTTGAGAAAAATAAGCAGAGAGAAGGGGAGAACATCAAGAGGAACCATTAATTCAGGGTCTAATAAATTAAGTCTGAAATAATGAGACCTTATTAGTGAATATAACTTCATACAGTGTTGAGGATGTTAATTACACAAAGACACCATGTTAAAAAAAATAAGGACGATACCATTGTATTTGATGTAATACGGTCACCATTGATTGAGAAATTTTTGATGTTTATTTTATATCAATGCCATACAATAAGTGATTTACAGTATCTGTATAAGAGGAAGGGTTTGGACAATTAGTCCGTCGAAAACGAAAGTAATCTACAAAAGAAAATTTCAAAAAGACATTTTATCGAATTGGGACACAATATTCATTGGCAGTGTTGTTATGTGAAAGTATACAATTATACCCAGGTATAAAAAAGTCATGACGGGGCAAAATGTTTTAGGAGGATAATTTTAAAAAATTCTTCCTCAAAATATAATATACGCATAAGTAAATTGCTATTACTTCAAACATAAAACAGACTATTTGATCAAAATGATACGCGGACAAATAAAGATCAGTCAGACAGTTATTTGCAATCAGTATAGATTCACATAATTCGTTCCTTTCACACAAACTTAAACAAAGCAAGAACGATCACATTTGCAGAGTACAATGAATTCACTGTATTTTGTTGTTTACTATTCAGCTGCACCCAATTATCAACATGATGTTGGACAATGAATTGTCAATCAATAGCAAATAAGTTGTGTGTAATATGAACCTAGTACAGCACAGATATACAACAACATAAGTTGCCATACAACATAATCAAACAAGAGGGCTTCAAAACTGAAGAAGTACTTGATCAATAGAACAAGAGAAATAACTACCAAGCTGAATCAATCAAAGCAAAGATGAAAAAATGAAAACGACATTTTTCCCATAGAGATATACACAACTATATAGCTTTGATAAGTGTTGATTTACTTTAGGTATTTGAGATATATTCAATGGTAACAGTTATGTGAGTGGACTTAACGTGTGTGGGGGGAACATTTGTACGAGCTTAACTAAAATCAATATCTGATTATCATTTGTTTCAAATTCCAAGTACATTCATTCCTCTATTACGATATGAATAATGTCAAAAGTGAATGGGATTAATAATTGTTTTACTACTAATAATAAAATGTAAAATAGTAAATGCTGAAACAGAATGGACATATACAAATTACTAACAGTGAAATACTATCGATAGAACATATTTTTTAAAGAAGAAGCACGATGGGATAGTATTAACGTCAAAATATGTAGATGGGCGGTCATTTTTTAACTAAGCACTTCATTATATGAATGAGACAATCATGTTGCCTTTCTTGTATAATTATTAAAAGTGTCGATTTGATTCAGGAAAAATGCAACGCATGATTATTTTAACCAATGGTTAAAAACTGTTTGATATGGCTCAAAATCGTTTGCGACGGCAGAAGTGTACTGACTTTTCATCTCCTCTTAGATCTTAGACTTCTAAATTTCTTATAATTTTTTTATTATTTCCTTGATTTATATTTTCTTCTCAAATTGTACCTTCTATGATTAATCTTTTCTATTACTACTAATATATTGTTACTATCTGCACTACTCTTGGATTCATTATCATGATTTTATCTCGATGTACACAGATGCCAGATTCTACGTTGCGTATGACTGACTGACTGAATAGATTAAGTGGGACAACTATTTGATTAGTAGACTGATTCCAATATACAAAGATGATATTAATAACATTTGATAAATACATTTTATCAGTAATCAGGACAAAGTGAATCTTAAAAGTTGATTAAAATATATTTAAGTCAACGATAAATCAAGATAAATTATTGAGAAAATTAAGATCATTTGGATCAAGTTGATAGAAAGATTTACAACTAATTAATCCATTAGTACTGACTGTCAGGTTTGTCTAGTTCAGTATTGAATTCTATAGAACAAACAAGCTGCAATATGACTACTAATTTAAGTGACTCCACATCGCACCCCAACTCCCCTGTAGTTCTAGAATTACTGCAGGTCCCAAGCCCGGATAAAGAAGGAAATATCATTCTCCAACATTTCACCGGACTATTCAGCTAATTATTAATTTTCACTAGAATACACAACAAAAATTATTCAACTTACAACCAGCAACATGCGGTCGAATAATCTTAACGAGAAAACCACAATTAAAAAGAAGCACCAACACCAACTATCTTCGACGATTATTTCGCTGATCTTTAGCGATGCCAGTATCAGCTCGATAACGTTGATTGATTTCTGCGATCTCATCAGAATCATCACTATTATCATCATCATCATCATCTGAGCCTTCCTCATCTTCAGAGTCTGACCCCTTTTCATCATCTTCATCATCCTCGAAGATGGCAGCATTGGCATCGAATTCAATATCATCATTCTCTTCTAATTTTATAGTGTCAGGAATCTCTCCTATCATTGAAAAAATACAGCTGATATTACTAAAATGGTCAACATATGGAATACACTGGAGTTACATGGATTTTAATAAATTCACTTGCAAAAACAAACTTGGAGAATAGTAAAACTAAAGGACAGGATAATTATATGTACTCAGCTTTTGAGTCACCCAGATCCAGGTCGAAGCTGCTGAAAATATTATTATTATACCCAAACGTGAGTAATGGGTTGAACGCGGTTCTAACTGGTAATTCAATAGTTGAAAATTGTGAGCCAAACTATTGAGTTATAGTTCCATAAATGAGCTAATAACCTAAAAGCCATTGGTTCAAATTTGAAAGACATTTGGGAAATTTCCTGTGATTACAAGATAAACAAGACTATCAGCTAACAGAGCTACTTTCAAAAAGTATAATTACATTTTATGAAGATGGTCATAAGAGATTTAAGCAGAATATCGGTTAAAATGCTTTCAGGCATAATTATTTACCGACTGAACAAAAAATAGTAATTTAGTGATCAATCACATAGTGGTGTATATTGCGCTCGGAAATTCAGTCTAACTTATACTGAAAGCTGTCACGAGAATTTAAAACCTATAGTCTAAACTTATGTTTGGTTAATATGTGTGACACCGTCCAAAGTAAAATCACACACTTGCTCAATGGCTATTTGCGCTTTGCGGTTATAAATATTCATAACGAACACGAGTCAACTGATTAGGAACCTCATCAATTAGACACCTTCAATTCAATACCTAAGAATAGATTTAAAAACATAGCTTACAAGATGATATCATGAACTAACAAAGTGAAGAATAATTAAAAAATATAATCTAGAAGACTTGTAAGTAGTTTAAACACTAATTTTTCAAATAGGTTTAAAAGTTATGAAATAAAGTGATACTCTTTCGATAAAAATACCGACGAACTAATCACATCTATTGTAAATTATATCAGTCTTGTTAATAAGTATTTACGACTTATCATACTTATCAACAGATATTTATACATGCTAATGAAAGTTTAATAACATCAAATCGCTAAATTTACCTTATAATTTAAGTAAGGTTAGTGAATAGCAGTGAATCTATAATCCGCATTTCGTCCTATTTTGGACTCGTCAGTTGGATATACTTGCATACCGATAGAAAAGTTCATATTGAGACTTCAAAACAGATACCTTTTGCTTTAAACGCCAAGTTATCCAATGAGTCACTACTGAGTCTAGACAGCCACTAGATTATGCAGCGGGTATTATTTTTATTTGTAAAAGTTCGTATTTTCCTGTTGTTGATAGAATGAGAAGTGCGTCATAGATTACACTGCTAAATATTGTCCAATTTTACTAAAAACCTTGTGATGAAATAGGAGTATCAAAGCGATCCACCTAGGGTACACATAAGTTAATAGCGACTGATCGTTTGGTAGGTTAGGCGTTCGCGCGCGAGAACGAAGGCATTGGGCTCGGCCTCTGGACCCAAGGTCGTGGATTTACACTACTACTGAGAAGTCCTGTACTAAAACGAAACAGAAACCCAGTGCTTCCGAGTTTTCAATTGTAGTCTAACCAAGATCGACTCGTGATTAAACTATGAAAGTTCTACAATCTCCACAAATCTTCCTATGCTGATAATATCAATCTTAAGACACTGATAGACTGGTTGTTTCCGAATAAGTTGCTAAATAACTATAAAAAGAAACAAAAGCAAAAAAATAGACCTGCCTAATGATTTAAGAGTTCTAGCTTCATCGTTCAAATACTTCATAATCACATCAGCTTTATTGTCTTGATAATCTCGCAAACCAATTAAAATGATATCACCATTACTGATCCAAACCTATAATAAAGACAGGATTGGATGAGAATTTATGCATAGATATGAGAAAAAAATGCAAACATATGACGACATTCATGATATGTCCTATACATGAACGCTTAAACACTGACTTTCTAGATCCCAGACATGTTCTGCTCTTGGGGTCCAAACAAAAGCAAGTGGGAAATACAAAAGAGGCTATAATCCAAAAGTTAGTTTATGTACACAAAAAGGTTATTTATGGGACTGTATGTGACGAAATTTTAGAAGCTTTTGAAAACATAATAAAATTGATGGAAAACTTAATAACTGTACAATCAAGACAATAGAAAGGCGATTCAGTTTTCTAAAATTATCTTGAGAGTTTCTAATGTGCGTTGATTAATTGAAGTATTTTAAGTATGGTGAAAATACTGGATATGAATCTTTTAGCACGGAAAACAGTAAAGGTATACTAGTCTTCGTTTAAATTGGTCAACAAGCCGACTAAATATAAAACTCCTGACGATGAAACCAGAACATCACGAATGAGAAAATGAAAATATTAGTACAGAAATTTCGATCAGTTGAGCAACTAGCTAGTATGCATATTACTGTTTAATCTGAGTTTATAATGGAGTTACACTAACTTGAGACCTACAACCACGATCGATAAAAATACAGAATAGAAAGACTACAAAAGACCTTCAACAACAGCTTACATTCTTTGTCTCAAGTGAAATCCTTTACTGGATTTGCGACAACACTTCACAACAAGTTGTTTAATTCATGTCAGGAAGAGGCAGATATGAAACTCAGTGATTTATTGATATTGTTAGTTAATGTAGTTAAATTTATTAACACTTACACAAATTGCATACGTGGATGAAGCTACTGATTAACGTCAAGTACTGTCTAGTACAGTGCATCAAAATTTTCCTATTGATCAGATAAGTCCCGTATAATTCAAAAAACCCCAACTAAGTTGATTCTCGGAATTGTATAGCTCTCATATGATGATCGACTGGTTAAGCTAAACCTATTTCCAATGTTATACAGAAGAACCAGAGGTGACTTGGTCACAGTTCTTAAATTAGTGATAAAAATGCATCAGATATACCCCTTTTTCCTTGTTTTCCAAAACAGATAATATACGAGGACACTCTAAAAACAAATTACTTATTTTCAGGTTACTTGTCAGCTGACTGTCGGCTTTTCCATAGAATCATCAATGAATGGAGTTCATTACCTCAGCACGTGACTGAGGCTTCATCTGTCAACGCTTTCAAAAGAAAATTGAAACTATTGAGAGACCACCATTGCCAGGACTAACACGCGCCATCCAGCCACTTGTCCTTTTCAAACTGAGACTGAATCAGTATTGGATTTGTGACTGACGTATAACAAACTTTTCATCTGCAATCTTGCCTTCATCTTCATACTAAACATCAATTCTTGCTCAGTTATACACAGGAGCAAGTTGTGCTTGCAGTATACCACAAGTAATCATACTGGTATTTTGCCAAGCTACAACAATCCATTACTAAAGAGAGTAGTTAGAAGCTTAATTTCTAATGAGATGATGTACTATGTAATAATTATGACGGTTATTAAATTGGCACAAATTTTCGTATGGTAATTGTAAATAAAAAAGATTATCTGACTGGTATAATTTTGATAATTCGATTATCAAGTTACTTGTTAATATACGATAGTTACTTATGGATAATAAATTTCGAGATAATAAGATAATTCTCCTTGTATAAAGAATATACGAATCACAATTTCATTATTTGTATTATTCTAAAACTGGTGATACCGACAATGATCAATTTAAAATTTCCAATAGACTCTGAAAATTAAAGCAGTAGGCATTATGGTGTTATATGCTTCAAACCTGTGTGCTAAACAATTTATTCGGGGTATATCAAATATTATGTTGATCAATTACTTCAACAAAGTACAGATTAATGAAGCTGTGGGTTACTATTAAATAAGTGTTTAGTATGCACTTCTCATCGTGCCTGAAACTCGGTTGTAAAACGTGGATGGAAGAGTTGACTTTTATACCCGTTTATTAACTGGATATGTTTAAAATGATTATACAATCGTTATAAAGTTGTATTTTAGTTGAGAGTAGCGAATAAATGCAAATTTAACGATTTTGCTATTAACTTTATATGCATGAAACGCTTGTTGAGACAAAAAAACATTTCAACAATCCAATATTATCATTACTATTACTATTTTAACACATAAACATTGGTACAAAGGAGTACCAAACATATATGCATCATACAAATCACTGAATTTGTGTGTGGGCTATGATACTGTCCCGGTGCCCAAACCGAAGTAGATGGTTTTCTTAGGGAGACACTACTTGGGCCTTTGATACAGAAGTCTAATCCACAAGGCGGTGGGGCAATTTTCGGAGATGTGGCCTCATTGCAGCCAGTGACGAACAACAGGTTCACATGCGTTTGTTACTTCTGGGTCCTGCAGCTCATGTGCACCAATGGCTTGGAGTTAGGATGGATCCTCTGTACCTACCAATACCACTAACTAAAAATTTTATTAATGGCACAAAGTTATTCAAAATTAGAGGGTTATTTGAATTCAAAAGGCGAACTGATACAATACTGTGACAACGCGATATAACACTAGCAAGGATTTTCATATATATTTAAACTACAACTAAAATTTAAAACACTACAAATATATGTTTATATGCATACTTTTTTGCGCAACTTCCCACGAATATGGCACAGCCTTTTAACACCGTCGAAACAATAAGCTTCTAATCGACCATTGCCTAAAAGGCGTTCAACTTTTGCATATTCTATAAAACCAAATACACCATGAAACAAAACAATATATTTCCATGAAAATATTATATAAATATAAGTAGATAACAATTAGT